TTTTGAATAGTGCTATGATGGGAAATGTGTGGTTGAAAAAGAAGAAAAAATTATTGATGTGATGGAAAATATTATTTTATTGAAAAATGTGTGGTTGAAAATGAGAATTGATTTGAGAATCAATTCTCAAAATCAGAAACAAACACCCCCTTAATATGGTCAGTTCCATTCAATCTACTATATAAAGCTCCTATTTGATTTTCATTCTTTTCAAATTCATGTTTTTAAAAGGATTATTTTCAACTATATATTTACACAATAAAATATTTTACACGCAAATTCAAAATTTTTTCTACTTTTTAACTACACATTCTCATGAAAACACTATTCAAAACTCTCATTTTCTTACCTTCTTTTATTAAAGCATGCTGATCTTGGACCATTAACCTTTTATCTGTTTTAAGGAATAATTAATTTTTATTTGTTGTTAGTAATTGAATGGATTACAGACTAATTCCACTTTAAATCTAAACCACACAAAATCTAAGGACGGCGCGAAAGTTTGAACTTTTTCATTTGATTCCAAGAATATCCTTGGGAGAAAAAAAAAAACCAATTCTTGAACCTGATTGCAGCCTCATTCCACTTTAAATCTGAACCACACAAAATCTAAGGACGGCGCGAAAGTTTGAACTTTTTCATTTGACTCCAAGAATATCCTTGAGTGAAAAAAAAAAAAACCAATTCTTGAACCTTGTGCTAACTGCCTAGTAAATTCTAATTCAATTCTTGAACCTTGTGCTAACTTCCTAGTAAATTCTAATTTAAAGTTTGACAATTATCAAAGTTTTGTTTTTAGTCCCCCATTATTGAAAATTTTAATAGTTGGAATAGTATTTTTTGGGAAAAAAAACAAGTGATTAAAAAAGAATAAAAAATTTTGGCATTACGTGTAACATTATTTTATTCGAAAATGAGCTGTTCATAAAAAGAGAGAAAAAAAAATGAATTATGATTTTAAGGGGCCAAACAGGCTTAAATATTTTTGTCAAAAATCTCTAATTCAAATTACATTAAAATTTATTAACGTCAACTCTAAATTCGGAACTTCTTTTATAAAGGAAAATTATATTAATTATTAAAATTTTAACTTAAGCTTAATAAATTAAAAGTTATTTTAGTTGACGAAAATACAAAAATTACAGTACCAACTTGGTGAATTTTACCAACATTAATAAAAGAATATTAAGATTGATTAATAAAATGTTATCTTAAAGCAAAATTATGTCTCCAAATGTATTTAAATAATTTATTTTTAAATAATAATAATAATGAAATGCCCTACTTATATTGCTTACTTCCCTAATAATTAAAGTGCCATTATTTGAATATGCCTTATATACAGTGTTCTAAAACTCGTGAAAATGCGCCGCTTAGGCGTGGCAAAAAGCGTCGAATTTGATGACGCGCGGGAAAATGTGTTTCCATCTAAAAGGCAGTGCATAATGCGCGCCTAGGCGGGATTAGACGCGTCTAATGCGCGCATTATGCCGCCCAATTTTATTTTATTTTTTTGGTAAAAAATTTATTTTTTTATATAAAAATATATTTAATGCATTGAAAATACGAAACGCATTATGACGCTTATTCTTCGCATTGACACGCCTAAATTTGTGATTCTTGATTCTCGGACTCGACGCATCGCAACGCATTACACATTTTAAAACACTGCTTATATATGATTGCGAGAAACAATAATCTTTCATTAAATACAATAATTTACTATTTTAATATAAGTGATAATGCCATATAATACAATCGAGTCGAGATGACTTGAACAAATGAATTTTTTTTCTTACATTTCTTCCTTCTATAATTTTGTTCAATTCTTTTAATTCAATTAACGCCTCCTAACCTCAACATATATTTTTTCACCGTGGAAAACCAAGATTTTAATAAATATGTATGATTTTTCTCTAATATTTTAAGCATATAAGCGTTGAGATCTGATATACACTTTTAGATTACATCGCGTGATTAGTTCAAATCCTCTTGTCGTCTATTTACAAAATATTTGCATGCATTAGTCATTTTATCAAAAAGTTTGCACGTGAGAATGTGTTAAAAATGTGATTTAAATAAATGCAAATACTTTAATATAAAAATAAAATAATCCATATAAAATATGATTTATTATCAAAAAATCCATTTAAATGACATAAATTATATCGAGAAAATGTATTAAAATTCTTGAACTACTCAAAGATGACATGCACTAATTAAAGTCGAGACATTGAATTTGAACTCACTAACCAATTTCCATACAATGTACCAACATGACATATATATTAATTAATTTAAAGCTACTAAAAAATAATTATTAATTATTTCACACATTTTACTAATTTCTAATAAACGTGTCCTTTTTTGAATGTAATGCGTGTGTAGTCGGCAGCCACCTACGACATGTGGATTTGTCGTTTTGTTCCATCGCTTTAGCTGTCACTTTTAACAAAGTGGCATTGACCAGTCTCCTGGAAGTTTATTATTCTACGTGGCGAGCTTAAAGATTAACACGTGTCCCATAAATTGGAAAAGTACAAAAGTTTTGGATAAGATGAATTTTGCCACGTAAGATGTTAATGGATAATATTGGATGCTCCCACGTTTCATTTCAAAAATAGTTTATGCTTACTAATTTGGGACGCATGACAGACTCATCCCAGGTTAAGAATACATAGACTAGAGAGTTATCGGTAAGAACTCATTCTTGTCACTTTGAGCTTCACATTTAATCAATTTTTATCAAAATTTATTAAAAAAATGATTTTAATTCCCACGAGATAGTGACTTAATGAAATTTCATTGTTACTATAAAACCGACATGGCAAAAGGCTCTATGAATTGAAAACTGCTATAGCTAACATTTTGGCTTTTATTTTGCATTTAACTATCCGACTTTGTTTAAGTGGAAGTATTATAATTTAGGGCCTGTTTGGTACAGATTCTCATTTTCTACAGTAAATCAATTCTCATTTTCAACCACACATTTTTCAATGAAATAATATTTTCCATCACATCAATAATTTTTTCTTCTTTTTCAACCACACATTTCCCATCATATCACTATTTAAAATTAATTCTTCCCCCAAACATCTATCCCAAACAAGCTCCAAATCTATCGTAAGTGTTCAGAATTAAATAAAGGGGGAACAAGAACTGGCCCATATCCATTTCTGAACCTATT